AAAAAAAAAAAAAAAAAAAAAAAAAAAAAAACATCATAGTAAAATTAATACCTTCTCCGCTTCGCATCTAAGCTAAAAATATTGGGCCTGTTTATATTTTTTTATTGATTTGTAATAATTGAAAATAATTCTTCTTTTCAAAAATAAAATTTAAACTTTTATAGAATAAAACATCATCATCTTTATCACTATCTTCTAATAGGGATTTTTTTTTGAAAGAAATAAAATCTTTATTAAATTTCTTTAAACAATTCAACTATTTGTTTAGTATTTCACAATTGAACAATATTTCAGTTATTTTTACTAGTATTGCTAAATTATTATACCAGTTGAAATTGTACACTTTTAGTATTTAAATCTATTAAAACATACATCATTAAATTTACCAGCTGAGAATAAATCTTTAATTTTTCCATTTGTTTTGTTTTCAACCCAACTGTTAATATATTCACGTTGATGTTCTGGGTTTTCTTTGAAGTTTACTTTTTCCATTGTCGAATTTAAATATTTACATGTTTTATCAATATAATGTTGTTTAACTTTAAATGAATTATCGATGAACATTCCAGTAGCTATTTTTAATACATTATGTTCCTAAAAAAAAGGTATAAAATGCTATAATTAATGGAAACAAAAATTTTCTAAAATATATTATAAGATGAAATTTAAAAAAGAAAATTATTTGAGCTTGGTATAATTTTGGTTTTCTAGCTAAAAGAACCAAAATTACAGATTATCTTTATACCCAGACCTAACCTTAGTTAAATTATATTATAGATACATTATAAATGAAAAAAAAAAATTGGTCGTCCTGGATCTGGATGGGTTAAATCAACTAAATCAATTGAACAATAGATTTAAGAAAGAAATAAATATTTAAATGGTAAATTTTCTTTAATACTTAAGATTCCTTCAAGATGTAACAGTGGTGTATCTAGGATTTAATAATGGAGGAGGAGATACAGTCAGAAAAATTACCAATAATTTTATAATTTGTACCTTCCCTTTTACTAAATCCAATTATTTTTTAGATAAATACTGCAGTCAATGGGGTTTTCTTTTCATCCGTTCTTACTATGCTACTGAGATTTAATAACAAAAATAATTATAAGGTAAATGGTTGTAATTACGTTTAAATTATCTAAAAGTTCTTTATACGCATCTAATAAATGATTATCTTTGGTTAAATAAATTGTATTAATTATTTCATCAAATGTTTTTCCTGCTGCTCCAACACTAGCCATAAACATAATAACATGAATGCTGAATGGAGAATAAATTATATTACCATCTTGTTTGGAAAATTTCTGAAATAAAAATATATTATTAAAGAACTTATATAATAATAAATATATTATCATAGTAAAATGTATTTACCGAATATAATGATAGTGAAAAGTCATAGTTAGCTAAACTAAGTGAATCTAAATTGGTTATTACATCGGGCATATTTTTTTGATCTGTAACAATTATCCCTTACTAAATTATTTAATATTTATACAAAATTATTACTAGATAAGTTGATGTGTATAACTTATGTAAAAAATATGGCATAAAAAACTAGTAACAATTGTATTTAGATTTTTTATCTAGCAGTTCAATTTTTTTGAGTTACTAGGTTAAGTTTTCAATGCCAATTACTAATCTAGTATAAAAAAAGTTGCTGTAAAACACCAGTCATTAGAAAATTTACTATTATCATTCATAATTCATTAAAGTATTAAACTATTTTTTATTTTTTAATTAGCCCAAGAGATTATGAAAGAAATTAAATTATATTTTTCCAAAACTTTAAATAATTATGATTATTATCAGTTAATTAGTATAATAATTGTGTATATCAGTAAAAATAACCTACCCCTAAAATGTATATGTGTAAAATTTGTTATAGTAATCATCAATAACAAAAGTTTGTTCCTAGTGCAATTATATAGAGCCTACCTAAATTTATGTACCATTTTTGCTGTTTAAAGTAACTTTATATGAATTATTAATCTAAATTTTAGTATTTAATTTGATGTCTACTATTGCCTAATAGGGGAACCATAAGTGTTTAAGTCTCTACTATTAAAAAAATTCTCTAAAATTTTAAATTATAAACAAAGTATTATGAATGTTTAATATTTAATAATACAATTTATTTATCATATAATATTTGATTATTAAGTTTTTTTAATTATTTCATATTTCTAGAAAAATCATTTTAAAATATTGATTTTAATGCGGTAAAAAAGCTGTGTATGGTTACCATACGTTAAATAAATTATACAACATCTGAATTGTTATTGTAGTGTGAAATAGTTATGAATTTCTACTTACCGTTACTCATATTTGTAGTTAAATAACAATATAAAGACTACGATTTATTTTTTTTTGGAAAATTCTGCTAGTATTACTGTTTTATAAATAAATAAGTACAATAAACAAATAATTAAAATAGTTGATCAGAAAACTATTATAAAGGCGTATTCAGAATGAATGTTATTCATATGCGGCGAATATATTAATGATAAGAGTTATTAGATAACGAGGTTGATGTCATCTTTTTGTTGACAGTAATTATTAACTATTGATAGGATAATGTATTAAGTTAACTCATATATTTCTTGTTTACTTAGCAATAGTTAACCAAATCTTTAATCAATCATTATTTTTTTTAAATCATAGATTAAATAACTTATTTAAAATTATTAAAAAGTTTTTTTTAGTTTTTTTTATGACTCATATTTATAGTTACGCCGGAATCGGGCGGCAAGGGGGCAGTTTTCCCCTTGGTTAAAATACGAAGAGGCAAAAATTTTATTATGCTTACCCAATTGAATCTGAAAATAATTACAATGAATCTGGAAATAAATATAACACTACCATACTTAATTATTTAGCTATTCAGATTTTAGTATTAAAAAGTGTTGATGATGAATTTACCTAACTCGAGTAGAATATTAAAAAACAGTAGCACAGTAGAGTCGTGGCATAGCTGAGACAAGTATAGATGATTTTTGACATTGATTAAAATCACTATCATAAGAAACGTTAACAAATAGCATATACACAGTGATTTTAGCTTCGATGCGAAGCTGAGAAGGTATTAATTTTACTATGATGTGTTTTTTTTTTTTATGTCTGTTACCACTTTTTCTCAGCTCTCACCGAACCGATTTCTTTCAACGATATGTCTAAAGATCACAAATCGTATCTAGTCGAAGACATTACCCTCAAAAATTAAAAAAAATTTCCTCGTTCTCCGAAAATCTCCAAAAAAATTACAAATTTAAAAATCACTGATTTTTGAAATTTTTTCAATTTTTTTGAATTAAAACTGCTATAACTTTTTCAAAAATGAACAAATCAATATAATTTTTTTTTATAGATGCTTGATGTCTTTACCTATTATTTGGTATATTTTTTTTATAAATTTAATCCTTTACCAGCTCACATAGAGGGATTTAAAATGACAACTTTTTTATAAAAAAATAATTTTTTCAACTCAACTTTTGAAAGTGTTCCGGAAATACTGACACTTTTATATGTATCTTAAATTAAAGCTTATGCAGTGTACTTTATTATAAAAAAAAAAAATTGACCTCTGGACTTGTCTTCGTGGTGAAAATAGACATCAAAGTTAATAAAAAATTACGATTTTTGTAAAATAATTCTTTTTTACATTTTTAACTTTGTAATGCTAGAACTTATTGAAAAGTGTATGGATCAACAAAATTTCTTTATGAGAAATAATATTTTTTAATAATCCCTTTTTCATTCGATATACTTATTACTTATTACACTTATAAATCATAAAACTTGTAATCAGGATATAAATAAAGAAATAGAAGATCTCATGTAGCTTTTGGAATAATACACCATTTTTTTAAAATTAAACGCTATCTAAAGATTTGCATCGAAGCGTTTTACTTTGATAGTGATTTTAATCACTGTCAGATATCATTATACTTGATCCAACGTCACCACTGTGCCGCGACCCCCCTGTGCTGGGTTTTTTGTTAATTTAAACATTATTTTTCATTACAAAATGTTTAAATTCTCAAATATTTTGTCAGATAAAAACAAAATAAAAAGTATTTTGATACTGAATTATCGGAGTATTGTATTTTTAAAAATCAAAAAAATTATGCCAGTTTACTATGTAGCAGATCTAGTACATTGTAAACGAATCAAATTTTGTAATTGCTCAAATGAGGTATTATTCATCATGCAGCGGACTTTCTGACTTAAGTTTCAGGCTACTAGCTATTCGTTAGTTCCAAGCAGTGTCATATCTAAGAATTTGTCATGATGATCAAATTATTCTAGCTTTCCTAAGAATTTTATTAAATGTCTGCGTAGTAGGAGTAGTTACCTAAAACATCAATATAACGTACTTACTGTTTAAAAAATTCTTCAGTCCATGAGAGCACTGGTACTTTTACTTTGTAGTCAGTAACGTATATAGGGGTAGGTTTCTAGGAGTTTACCCTTCTCTGAAACTAGTTCAGCTATATAGTTTAGGGTAAAGTCTTTCACGGTTCTATCATCAACTTATAGTGAAAACTATTCTCGAAATGAAATTTTTCGTACGTTATTGTTCTTAAAAATATCTCATATAGTCGAGTGTATTGCCGTCATTTATTAATTATTAAAAAAAAATTATTTATTTTAATTTCAAACCGAGTTATTGGCTTTCGTTTGTATTGTTAACTAGTCTTGGTAAATTTTTCGATAAAAATACTACGAACCTGACGTTTTTTTTTTATAAACGAGAGGAAAATACTTCAATTTCTAGACTTCTTTTTACAACAGCGTTCCAGAAAACTACCCACTGTCCATATAACGTATTGTTTAAAAGAGGGTATTTGATAGTTTATACCCTATGCTTATAAAAGTAGAGAGGATGACATGAAGTAAGTAAACGACGTTTGGTTGGGCGGAGTTATTTTAATTAAATCCCTCTGTGTACGCAATTTCCTTTGTAAAAAATATGTATACAAATACTCGTTTATGTCTTTTTTGAATTCTTCTTATACGTTTTTTATTAAGATGAACACGAACTTCAGTCAAACGTTATTTGTTTTTGCAGCTGAGTTTCTATTAGTATAATTACTTAAAATCAAAAGTTGGACACATAAATATTAAACAAGAATGTGAATTTGAATTAATTAAATTTAATAGCATAATAGATTTGAAATTTTTAGTAAAAAATACTGTGTCTATCTCATTTCAAGTATACTTCAATAAATGTTTGGTTGTTGAGATAAATAAATTAGTATTGCTGTCAAAAACTATGAACATCGTAATAGACTTTTAATAGGTTTTGTTCGTGAAATTTATAAAGTTAAATGGACAACTTTAAAGTATGTCAAGTTATATCATATCCTACATGACATTAGAAAAAAAAGGAAATAGATTAAAATTGTAAGGTATATATATAATCAGTAGCAGAACAGCAATTTTTTTATATATTTGATCTCACCAACGTCCAAAAGTATATAATGTGTCATGATACAAAGATTTATAAAGGAGCTATTGCTTTTTACTATCTTAGTTCTGCAGGCCTTTTCACGTTGATTATAAGTAACCCTTCGTATACTTTTCGTGATTTCTAGTCTTTTTTTGTTACTACCAAAATAGAACACTTTGAAATCAAACTTTTACAATAATTTTTTATTTTTACTAAACCATTCGAGTAATTACATAGTAACACTGTAGTACATTATGTTGCAATACTTAAATGTAAAAAATATTGTGGTAGATTATTAGTCATGACTGAGGTAAGATTTAAATAATATTAAAACGCACTGCAACTAAAAAGTTTTAGACGAGTATATAGTAATAGTTCATAATGAGCAATTAAAACGTTCAACTTGAAATACAAGTGTGTTTTGCTATTCAGAGATAACGTATTTAACACATAGTTATCACTTTATGTTTACAAAAATTACCCAAGTAAATAATTGTTATAAGTCTATAGTTTTTATCAGTTAATTAACGGATTACATATCAAAATTAAAAATAATTGCGCGAATGGCCTTCATCGATAATAAAACATGGGCGTATTTTATTTTAATTTTTAGTTGTTTATTGATCACGTCTACAAGTATATACAAAAAACCTCTGAAGATGTTTTTAACTAAAGGAAAATTAACACAGAAAAATATGTCACAATTATTGTATATTTTTTGATTGACTTAGATCATGGTTCTTAAAAAATATGTTTAAAAAACTGATTAAAACAAAAGTAAACATTGTAAAACGTTTAAATTGACCCATAAAACCAATATAAACTTTAAAATATTTAAACACGGTGTGTTAAAATGTAACAATACTGATTTACACACTATTATTGTTAAGAATTTGATAGAAGTTTTCCAGATGTATTAAAATAAAAATTAATTTAATTAATCATTTTATATTTATAATAACTTTAAATCAAAGTGATTTATTTGAAATGTTAACAAAATTTTAATTACTCCTAAACGATTTTAATTTTATTTAGTTTAAATAATTTTAATAATTATACCATTAATAATAATCAAAGGAATAATCGAATAAGTATAATGTGTGTTTTAGATTTTTTTCTACGAAGTTGTTTAAAAAGTATTAGTAAATTTTAAGTAAATAGCTGTAAAATTCTAAATATTTAGTAATTTCTATTATAAAGAATAATTAGAGTATTTTGACTGAATTCTTAAAACTACAGTTTTAAAATATTAGATTCACAGGCTAAATTAGGGAAGTTAACTAAAAAGTACAAAATTTTGAAAACAATAAACATATTATTTTATGAAAACATTTTTAGAATAAGGATTCATTAATGTAGCACCATAAAAATGTTTTATTGTAGTGGAGCTTATGATTAAAGCGAATGATTTTATATTATATTTACTTGTTGACTTAATAACCATTTTGTTTTCTTCGAATTATAAAAAATAAGGTTAAGGATTTTTTTTTAAGTTGTTATTGGAAACTGCCAATGGTGTTTTTGAAAACTGTTATACTTCTTCGAGCGTTCTTACTAACTTTGAACAAATGAATGTTGAAGTTCTTGATATATATGATGGTGATAATGGCAAATTACATTGACATTTATTTATTTTTGAATTTAGTTATTTAATTTTTCCATTTTAAATTTAAATTACAATTTTCTAAATTAATATTAAAAAAAGTTGGTTTTTCTAATTATTTGTAGTCAAAGTCATGTAAAATCACAGTTGTATGTAAATATTTAAATTGTGAATAATATTCAGTGTTCCTGTAACTAATAATAAAAAACCAAACGAGCTTTAAAATTAATTATTTTTAAAAATGGATATAGGCCACAGTATTATGCACTAAATAAGTTGGATATATCTAAAAATGATGAGTTCATTTTACAAACATTGTTGTTTTGCAACATTGTTTTAACTTATCTTCTGTGAAATTAGTGATTTTATATGTACAAACATTGGGCTGAAAATTTTAATAAGATAGAAATATTCATTTTGAATTTTTC